GGCGACACACTTCCTGAGCGTTAACCAGCCAAACTCGCTCACGAAGCAGGCTCACCAGCGATCTAGGGCCAGCATGGCAATTTGACACATGCAAATAAGATACGTACGATCTTATGAATTGCGACTTTTTAGAAAGCAACAACGGAAACTTGGCTTTGTACGGGATAGGAGCATTTAATAATCTTCCCCCCACTCTCAGCAAGGAAAACAAGAAACCGTCTTCTCTAAACTCATGTAGAAATGGACTCAGACGCTGTAAGTTAGCGTTAAGTGTTCTCTTTTTTCGAACCTTGTCGATTTCGTCACCGAACTCATTGTCCTGGATGACTTGAACAATTTTGTTGAATACCAAATTGAGTTCGCTTGGCTTGGCTATAGGATCAAAGGGCTTCGAGACCTTTCTGCACCTTTGTATAAATCGAAAAACCCAAACGAACACCCTCAGCAATTTTGAATGTGACGAGTAGCTTTCGATAACTTCGAGAGTAAAACTACAGCAGACTTACGAATTTCTAGGGCAGCTGAATTTTTAGGCGGCTCGAAGTGAGCATTCACAGGCCAATTTTCTTCCGATTCCATGAGGAAGGCTGGCCCTGTAAACCAAATGGAGCTACGCAACTCGTCTACATTACATCCTCTGGACACGATGTCTGCTGGGTTGGATTTCGTTGGGACATGTCGCCACGTTGCATTCTCGGACCACTCTTGGATTTGAGAAACCCTGTTTGAAACGAAAACTGACCATGCCGACGGATGCGACTTGATCCAGTGGAGCGTTATTTCCGAGTCAGTCCACATAACTATCTTGTCTATTGGAAAATTAAGCAACGGGCGGACTTGACGAAAAAGATCTGCGAGAAGGTGAGCTGCACACAGCTCAAGACGAGGCAAAGTTTTCGTCTTGAGTGGAGCTACTTTGGATTTTGAGGTCAAAAGTGACACTTTCCAACCATTCGCAGTCGAAACACGAACATAAATACAGGCGCCATAAGGTTCAACAAATTCTGCTTAAATGAGTCCCAAACTGTATGAAGATTCTCAGGGATGGATTCGTCCCAATCTAGTTTTTGTAGCCACAAATCTTGCAGCAACATTTTTGCTTTGGTGATCAGCGGGCAAAGAAGGCCCAGAGGATCGAAAAGCCTGGCAGTCACCGATAATATGTTCCGTTTAGTCGAGCGGAGATCTAGGAAGGAATTTTACAACTGGAACTGAAATACATCTTCCTTTGGTAACCACATAACGCCGAGCGTTTTGGTTGGGTCTGAGTCGACTGTGGCTACTGGAATAACTGTGCTATCAAATGCGGACAGTTCCGAGCAGTTCGAAAACCACTTTGCCAATTCGAAGCCTGCACTTTGAAGAACGTGCGACACTTCTGCTCGAAGCTTTTTTAGCTGTTCAACGCTTTCAGCACCAGTTAACATATCGTCGACATAAAAGTCGCTCCGAATAACTTCAGCAGCTGTTGGATGTGAGGAACGGACCATTTCACTCAGCCTTGTTAAACACCGCACCGCCAAGAACGGAGCTGGCGACGTGCCATACGTTACAGTGTTTAACCTGAAGATTTTCAAAGACTCAGACGGATCTCTTCGCCACACTATGAGCTGATAGTTTCTATCTGCTTCGTGCACCATCACCTGACGGTACATTTTTTTAATGTCTGCCGCTAAGGCGAACTTTCGCAAACGAAAACGAAGCAGCGTAGAATAAAGCTCCTCCTGAATTGTTGGACCGACCATTAAGGTATCATTCAACGCAATCTGAGTGGACGTGCGGTAAGAGGCATCGAAAACGACACGCAACTTGGTCGACGTGCTTTGAGGCCGCAGGACACACTGATGCGGAATAAAATAGTGTGGAGTATCTGGAATTTTGTTGTCCGTTGAGGACATATGACCGAGCGAAACATACTCGTCCATAAATTCCAGATACATGCTTTTCATTTGAGGGTCTTTTGGCAACCTCCTTTCAAGCGACAAAAAACGACGTTTCGCAATTTCATACGACGAGCCAAGATTTTTTGGGTAAGATTTAAAAGGTAACCGTACCTGAAATCGACCAGACGACAAGATTTTTGTATTATCAACAAAGTGTTGTTCACAAAGCTGTTGCTCAGGTGAGAGAACTTTCGAATTATTAGGCAAGTCCTCAATGGACCAAAACTTTTGTATCGTTGAGTCTATCGAAAGTAATTGTTCTTCTTGGCAACTTAAATTCACTGCTCCTTCTATACTCGTTGTAGGTTGAGTAGAGCATCTGCCTGACACTATCCAGCCGAGAAGCGTTTTTTGTAATGTGGGAGACTCAGGGCCTTGCTTTATTTGGCCTACCGACAATAAGTCGAAGAATGACTCTGCTCCAATTAGCATATCAATTTTTTGCGGTTTATGGAATTGAGGATCGGCCAATTGAATATTTTTGGGGACCCTCCACCCGCTGGTGTTCACCGCTTGATCGGGATGATAACCAGAAATCGATCCCAAGATCCAAAAATCTGCGGAAAACTCGCTACAATGGTAACGCAAGATTTGTGCTAGCAGTATAAATATGTAGCAGTGTGTGATGAGAACGTTGGCACACGCTACATTTCTTTGCCTTACACTTCGCTACTGTGTGGCCTCGTCGAAGACAGTTTATGCACAAAGGCGCACCTTTAGCGAAGTCAAACCTTTGCTGCACTTACAAGGCAATATATGCCTGGCAATTGCCAATCGAATGGTCAGCTGAATTGCAAAACTGACAAAGGTTATTCTGTTCGTTTTTGGCAGCAACGAACGAATGATTTATCCTGCTAGCATTTTTTACTTTTTGAGTCTGAGTGTTATTGCTCGACTGGCTGCCCTTCGCTTGAGCTTTACTAGCTTCTTCAGCAACAATATGCTGGTAGCGTCTGTTAAGAGCAGTCTCAAAGCTGACGCAGATGGCTGGGAAATCTTTTGCAGATTGAAAAGTGTCGATATGTTATCGAAAAATATTAGGCAGTCATTATCGTACACCCGCTTTAGACTTTCAATGGCTTTGCTATAATTGTCTTCCGTCACTTGGAAGGCGCGAACTGTGCCTAAAGCGTCACCAGCCAAACATGATATTAAGTGATTGAATTTTTCAATATCATGCAGTGTGTCATCATTGTGAACAAAAGTTTCAAAAAGACTCATGAAATTTTTAAATTCAGAATGCTTGCCGCTAAAAGTTGAAAGAGCGACCGCTGGCAATCGACACATTGGCTTTTTTGAAGTAGGCGGTGCAATACCGTTTGCCGAACTTGAATTGTCGATGCTTTTTCTTCTTAGTTTTTCCAGCTGGCCTTTTAATAAGGATTTGGTCATAATGCAAGTTTCTTCCAACTCTTCACGGTAGTCATCTTCTGTATCTTTTGCTTCAATTTTGCTTTGCAATATATTTGCAGTTTCTATATGAGTTGTTAGAAGCTCTAACCTGCATTCTAACTCGATTGGCTCTAACGAAATCGAGCCTTCTTTTAATTGCCGTTGCATACGACATATACTCCTCATACAGCCCTCGCGCTTCCTTTTAAGTTCTTCGATCAAGTCCTTACTCATATTGATTTAAGGTTTTAAACTTTGATCGAACGAAAATTGTCGAGTGGCAAACGAGAAATCGAAAATAATATGCTGTTCTCAGCAAGTGTAGGGGAGCGCAACAGATGGTCGTCTAGCAGTGCGAACGAAAACGAGAATAACTGCAGTTGACTGACCGTCGAAGGCAATACTTTTGGAAGCGGCAGCGAAAGTGGCGACAAACGAAAAGAATAATTCTAATACAAATGCCTTGTGTGCGTTAGCAGAACAGCTAATTCTTATGCATGTATTTTGCGAAGCGCAGGCAAACAAAAAATGCAGCAGCTTAAGCGCGAACACGACAGCAATGTATTAGCTAAGTTATGTATGCGAATATGTCGGTATATATGTACATATGTAACAACGACAACGGCGAATTTGATGAGAACAACGAGAGCAAGCAACAAACGAAAACTGCCGACGGTTGGCTGAGATTGACGTGGGGGGGATACCGTATGTAAAAGTGGCTATGTATATTTATGTATGTATGTATGTATAACAAAATCAAACGACAATAAATTGGCACTTTAAATAATTGCCTATAGCGGTTCACTTTTATTTAATATTAGTACGACATGCGATTTATATTTGTGTTAATTATGCTCAACTATCTACCGTATTATATTATGGTCACGTATGTGCCAAAGGTTGAAAGTTGAAGGCCGAAATAAGCAATTCGCTGGTTAAATTCCACTTTCAAACTTTAGCACAGTACCTGTGAAGTCGACTTTGGCTCAGGAACTTCCCTTTGGTCGACTTGACTCATCCTCCAAATCCAGTTGACGTGGCAGCAACACAACACAATCCCCAGTGCAGCAACAACAACACGACCGACGCGGTTCCGCACAAATTAAAGTTTTAATTTAAAAAAACAAGCAAGTCCCTGCTCGGGCGCCAATGAAAATTTATATTATTTTATATAAATTGTATGAAAACGAAGAAAGATTGGGACGCTTGCTTTTAATTTTAAATTTAATATCGAAAATGACGAAACGATACGGTGGCGATTGTGCTTCTGTTTAGTTCTATTTACAACTGACTTCAAATTAGGCTTACATGCTAAACTAAGCCTAAGGCGGCGAAAAAAGGGCGCGAGGCGATGCATCGTCGCGACGTCCGCAAACGGCCGCTCTCGCGCTCTCTTTTCGCCCTAAACTAAAATTCAAATAATTCTCTTAAACTATCTTAATCTAAAGCAGCATCTGCGCCAACAAGGCCGATTTAACATAAATTTATAGCCATATATGTTTGTATGACCAAGCAGTGTCCGCAGCTGTTGCTACTGCTTTGCACAGGCACACGAGACATACACACACATACACGCATAATTATTCTACACATATGTACAGAGTATTTCACCCGACTTTAGCTTCTCTACTTATTTTACATATAAATATTTGCATTTGTTTGTAGAAGTCAATCGTTTAAAGAGGATGATGGAACCTGGAAAGGAAATGATGATGGAAAGGTTGTAAACAACCAACCTCAACGGGTTATGGACGATAGGAATGGAATGATGGCTCAAGCTGGATATATTGGCAGGTACGATTATTGTTAACAAGTTTGTATACCCTTTACTGAAAAGTGTGGGGAAAATTTGTTTTTGGTATGTAACTTGTAACACACATAACGATGCAGGGTAGACAGAATGATATATGTATGTATGTTTCTGGTCATGACACAAATCTAAAAAGGTCCAAAAAGGTCTTCCAACTATTTAGAACAAAATCTAAGCTAGGAGCGTCAGCAGCGGTTCGTCTGAGGGCTTCTAAAAAACTGATCAATTTAAACGAAAACAAGCGAGACAAAGTACGCAACGATAGGATGCTAACTGATGGTACATGCTTTTGTTGGTGTGTCACAAAAACTATGTAGGAGAGATTTTAAATTGCATAACCAACTTAAACTTAAATTTCAAACACATTCTGGGGTGACACTAGAAAACTCACAGTTGTTTTTAAAAACCCTTAAAAAAAACTTGTCTGAGCCTCTGAACATCGAAAGATTTCATTATTTGGAGCATCCTTTCCAAGACCAACTATAAAGAAGTCTAACAGACTCAATAAGGTTGCCAGCGCACGAAACTAAACCAGGCAGTTCCGTAAAATCATTTTTATTTTTCTACATTGTAAAGAAATTATTTTTCCAGCTTGAGTATGGCTCAGCAGTTCACGGTTCTTTACAAGAAATTTGTTAATTGCGGGATCTGGCGACAAAAGGGCTCAATGCCTACTGTAGGGTATCAATCTCCGCGTGGCCTGTATTTTGGCATTTATGTCGGCCGACTCGTGCACTGCAGATAACACTGCCAAGACTCAGTTGCTCGGCGACTAGTGTCCACTATATGCGAACTGTACCCATTGTAGCCGTTGGTAGCTGGAGGATACAAAAGGAGTGAGAAAGTTGGGAGGCAAAAAATAACGCGAAATACTAGTTTAATGTTGCCATGGCTCTTATATTTTTCATTTGTTTTACACTTCAGCTTATGCTGCATCACCATTAGATTAGTCTGTTGATAACCTTAAATAGCTAGGATGCCGCGTGCGAGGTTAACTTTCCATTGTCGAGCCGAGGTCGTATCTGCTTGTGTTCGAGGGCCACGGTAGAAAAGAGAGCTCGTCTGCTCGAGTTCACGGTTCACGGTAAAAGAGATTAGCTTCCGATCTATAGATGGCTCCTTGCCTCGTTCTGTGTGACCGTGTTCTTCCTTTTCTTAAATCCCTACGTAAGTGTGAGCGGCGATGCCGGCTTGCTTTACTTTAACTCTCTGTTGTTACTTAGTAAGTTAAGGTAGTAACAATATAGTACTTGTATATGTAATAGAACTTCATGTCCAATAACATTAGGTAATAATAATAAGTAATCATTTCATGTGTAATATTAAGTAGTTATAGTATCCAAAAATAAGGAAGAAATATTAATATTTGTGACGCAGAATTTCACTGCGTCACAACATAACTTAAAATATTATTTATATTTCTACATAACGTAAAATAGTATTTATTTTTCTACATATCTTAATATATTATTAAGGAATTTTCAAAATAATTAAACGGCACTCGCTTTACTGCTAAAAATTATCAACTTAAAATTTAAAATTATTTTCCGTTAGACTATGCAATTCACATGACAGTTCTGTTATAAACGGCATTGGTAACAACGGACCTGACCTGACCTGTGTGTCGTGTGAGTATCGACACACAATTTTCGCCAAGTTTGTTTGATTAATACATAGTTGTTTAGTACTTATTTCAAACAAGAATTGCATTTAATTAATATCTTAATTTTAATTTTCGTTTGACTCGCAAAATAATATTTAAAACAGAAACATGTAATGTGCGAAACATGTAATTTTGTATTTGGGCCAAGTGGGCATCTATTGTGAAATTGTTTTGGAAGTTGCGCGTGAATACTAGTGTTTTAATGAGACATTTTGTAATTTGCTAAATTAATAACATTTACATAGGATATGCAAAATATTTTTGATGTAGATTGTTCAGGAAAACTATAAGGTTTAGGATAGGTTTCAATGGCCGGGGTGATGTTGCCCATTGTGCTGCCATATAATCTCCATCTATATATCCATTACCTCATCTACCCGGTACTTCTTAAGAATCTAACCGTGCTTACAAGTTCAATCTTATTCAGATCTGAAAGACCATTCAGGAACGGTCGTCCCAGTGTGGAGAACCTGCGCCTGCTTAACGCTGGACAGTGGCATAAGAGGTGTTTCACACCCTCCTCCTCTTCCTCATCTCTGCAGCTTCTGCAAAAATCATTATGTGGGATTCCAAACCTTCCTTCCTGCCCAATTTGATAAGCTTGAGTGTCCTTTTTGCGTCCAGGGACGGCCATGTTAACCGGGCACTTACGCACGTGTGCGCACCATCCCAGCGCTGCTGGGAGGAAGGAGGCTAAGTAGGCTTCTTAAAGAGCATTAGTGGCCTTCTTTACTCATTCACTGATATTGTCCTGCTAGTAAATCCCATCCAAGATAACCCCCAGGTATTTAGCCTTACTGCTGAATTTGAGATTGACCCCATGAGGTTGGGTGGTTGGAGTTTCGGGATTAAGGTCACGTCGTCTGCGTTTGCAATAGCCACATGACCTTCCGACTTCAGGGTACATAGCATCTTATTAACCGTAAGAAGCCACTGAAGGGGTAGAGCACCCCGCTCTGTGGTATACCCCTGTTGGCGAAAGTGCGTGTGGTCTGACCACTCAGCCCTGCCGTTGAGCAGTTGGTTAATGAAGTCGGCGAGAGGTCCTTCTATCCCAAGTTCTGTCAGTGAACGGGTAATAGCGGAGGGCAGTATGTTATTGAAGGCGCCCTCTATGCCTTGAAAGGCTACTAGTGAGTACTCTTGGACGGAAAGTGAGTTTTCTATCTTCGAGACCAGGGAGTAAAGGGCAGTGTCAGTAGACTTACCCTTACTGTAAGCGTGTTGGGAGGGGGACAGTAAAGCCGGGTGGATTGACTGCCTGAGGTATAATTCCACAAGTCTTTTAAGAGTTTTTAGCAGAAAAGAAGACAACTAATAGGCTTAAAGTCCTTCCAGCCGTCGGAATATGGTTGATCAGCAGGGTGCCCTTGTAGCCCGGGTGTAGCTTGCGGCCGAATATTCTGAGATGATGTTTGCCTAGAGTTCATTTTCTTGATGGCGGTCGGGCGGTGATGTACTAGTTTAAATTGAATAAATTTGTGGTCTGAGCACGAGTGTTCATTCTAATATACTGTCAGCTAGGGTGTTCGACACCAGTGTGACGTCCAGCACCTCGCTGCGGTTTTTTGTGACAAAGGTAGGGTTGCTACCTTTATAGCAAATAAACAGATTACTACTGATTATATAGTCGTACAGACACTCACCTCTCCCGTCTATGTCGCTGCTGCCTCATTGGGTGTGGTGGGTATTGATAGTCGTAGGCTAGATAAAAAGAAGCCATCCAGAAAGTGGTTCTTTTCTTCGTTCGGTTGTTCTCAATTTCAATACAGACAGATGTTATGTCACTGGATTGAGGAAGAAGAGTAGCGTTAGTTCGATTACTCGCTCGAATGTTGTTGTTGACCCGGGGCTCCCGAATCAGGACTACGTCAATTTCGTCCATCGCCAGGCGAAGCAAGAGGGCAGCTGTCGCCTAGCGCTTTCGGAGCCTGTTTAGATGTCGTCGCGGATCTATAGGGTTTATATTCCAATGAATATTTTTAGGTGGAAAAAATGTGTTTGTTAGTGTTTTTAATCAAATCTCTAGACTGCCCGCTTTGCCCCCCCATCCTCACGCCATGTGTAAGCATGTTTGCAGTCAACCAAAGTACCAGCATCAACAACAAAAATACACAGCTAAAAACCATTCTTATATGGGTCGTTATGCACATTATATATGTCATTTAATAAAATAAACAAAAAATCTTTGTTTTTTCATTGGTTTTAATAGGTTTTAGATATAAGAAACCAATCCCGTAATTTTGCATATGATCAATGTCTTTTTATACTCGGTTTTTATACTCTGTACATGAAATGTACAAGAGTATATTATGTTTGCGCGAGATGAAAAATGTAACAGGCAGAAGGAGGCGTGGCAGACCCCACAAAGTATATATATTCTTGATCAGCATGACAAGACGAGTCGATCTATGTATGTCTGTCTGTCCGTATGAGCACCTGGATCTTACAGACTATAAGAGCTAGAGACACCAAATTTTGCACAAAGATGCCTTATATATAGTATATACGCTGTGCAAGTTTGTTTTATTTTTAACCCGTTTTTTCTGGAATCATTCTACCGTGTAAAAACCGAATAAGTTGTACACTTTTTCTGCGTTGCTGTTGTTTTAGCCCCTAATAAACTAGTGAGTGAGAGTTGCAGACGTTTGACTTCAATCACTTGTACTTGGAAAAGTTGAAAGGAAAGTTGATACCAGAAGAGCACGAATGTTCTTTTTGTTATCTTTTATTGAATGAAATGCAAGGGTGCATATACAATATTTGGGTGTGCGTAGGTCTAATTATTTCTAAGTGTCCAAGTGTCTGGGTTAGTCGTGTTATAGCCAGTAACCGTAATACTTGGATTACGGATTCTGCACTCAGGATCGATTGCGAGTAATTCTGTTTCTGCTGTAGATTACACAGCTCGTGGAAAATAGCTGATAAATGCATTGGTTCTCGAGTTGCGAAAACCCATTGATTTTTTGCATGCATTGGTAGCCAGAAGAATTACGTATTCATATGAGTCATTGCACAGCCAGAAGGACTTTGATCGCATTTGTAGTCACTCGAAAACATCAATTGCTGGTAGCATATCCATTCATTGTTTAGCAGATTACAGTTACGTAGATCAGTATGAGTGAGCCTTATGATTGTTGACTGATTGGATGTTATAGGAATTGGCACCAAGTTGTATAGCTCTAGTGGTTGAGATGCTACAATTGGCACCTTCAATTTAAATATTACATGATTATTCAACACTGGTTTTTCAGCCTTTATCATGCACGAACTGCAAATGCCTTTCCAATTGACGTAGCGAAATTAGAAGCGGGTTTATAG